TTTTTTAATTTTTTTTTCAACGTTTTTTATTTATTTTTGGGACAGAGCGAGACAGAGCATGAACGGGGGAGGGGCAGAGAGAGAAGGAGACACAGAATCGGAAACAGGCTCCAGGCTCCGAGCCATCAGCCCAGAGCCCCACGCGGGGCTCGAACTCACGGACCGCGAGATCGTGACCTGGCTGAAGTCGGACGCTTAACCGACTGCGCCACCCAGGCGCCCCATCACGTGACAGTTTTTAAGGCTGGATAACGTCCCCTGGTATGGACGGACCGTGGATCCGTCGATGGACCTTTTGGCCGGTGTGAACGCTGCTGTCGTGAACTGCTGTGTACGAGTGTCTGTTCGGTCACCTGTCGTGTACAGAGATCCCTGCTTTCAACCCCTTTGGGTAGATGGATACCCAGCAGTGGAACTGCTGGGCCCGATGGTGGCTCCGGTGTGATTTTCTGAAGGGCTGCTGAACGGTTTTCCACAGCAGCTGCTCTAATTCACCGTCTCACCAGCCGAGCACGGGGCTCCGGTCTCTCCACATCTTGGCCAGCACCTGGTATGTTCCTTTTTTTTTTTTAACATTAATGATCATGTTCCAGGAGAATTAAAGGCAGAATTCTTTTTTATTTATTTTAATCAATCAATCAATCAATTAAAGTAAGCTCTATGCGGGGCTTGAACTCACAACCCTAAGATCGAGAGTTGCAAGCTTCACCAATGGAGCCAAATGGGTGCCCCTCTCTTTGCTTTTTTGTTTTTTAAGTTTATTTATTTATTTTGAGAGCGAGAGGAAGCATGAGTGGAGGAGGGACGGAGAGAGAGGGAGAGAGAGAGAACCCCAAGCAGGCTCCGCAGTGTCAGCGCAGAACCTGATGTGGGGCTCGAATCCATGAACTTCGAGACCACGTCCTGAACGCAAGTCGGACACTTGACCTACTGAGCCACCCAGGCGCCCCTGAAGTTTACATCTTTAATCCCACGGTAGGTTCTTGAGCAAGGGACATCCCGGGGAGGACTTGCCAGGCAGTACCTTGAGACCCCAGAGCACAGGCTACGCGGGAAACAGACTAGGGGTTCGTCCAGCCACAGGCACGGTGAGAGCCGGGACTGGATCCAGGTCATATTAGTACAAATAGTTGGTGGAGATCCGAGGAGGTGAGTTCTAGAAAGAGACCTGGAGGTGGATGTGGTTCACACGTCGGCTGCCCGTGACGCCACAGAAGCGATAGCCCAGGAGGAGGATGAAAATCTGGGTAGGAGACAGAGCTGAGTCATCAGAGATGCAGGGGCAAACTGGTGATGTGACATAAGGACCCAAGCGACAGCTGTTGGGTCTCAAGCAGCGAAGAGTGCTGGAGTGCTGACCAGCGCCCCCTGCCCTTGGGACTTAGCAACCAGGAGGGCCAGGGAGGTGAACGGGGTGAGGATGGGGGGGGGGGGGTCCTCAGCCATTTGCCAGCCAAGGGAGCAGGGTCTTCAAGGCTGGAGGAGGGGATGGGAGGACAGAAGTGGATCTGGGGAGCACGGATAGCCCCTTCTCTCCTATTCAGCTCTGATTTTTGCCGCACAGTGTATCTTTTCCTTCCAGATCTTTTGCTTTCCTTAAAAACCAATTAAGGTGTAATCTGCACCCAGTAAAACCTACCCGCGTTAGGGTACAAGTCTATGCTATTTGACAAATGCATACCGCCCTACAGACACAGCCTCAATCAGGATAGGCGTGTGCCGCCCTCCCCAGCCTCTGGCAACCACCGATGTGTTCCCAATCGCTAGTTTGTCTTTCCCAGAAGAAAAGTGTCAGTGGAGTCATGCCGTATGAGCCTTTGGAGTGTGGCGACTTTCATTCAGCAGAACGCACGGCAGACTGACCCCCGGTGTCAGTTGCCAGTATTTCTTTCCCGTTACTGCTGGGGAGTGTTCTGGGATGTGGATGTGCCACCTTCTACCGGTCCGTCTGTTGAGGGACATTTGAGTTCTTTCCACATTTTGGAAATTATACATATATCGCTGTAAACATCTATGTGCAGGTTTCTGTATGAGCGAAAAGTTGTCATGTCCTCTGGATGAATACCTAGCAGTCCTGACATTCTCTCTCTCTGTATCACACACACACACGCACACACACACACACACACACACACACACACACACACACACACACAGCTTTGGGATACAGTTCATATACCATGCAGTTCACCCATTAAAAGTGCACAATTCAGGGGCGCCTGGGTGGCTCAGTCGGTTAAGCGTCTGAATTCAGCTCAGGTCATGATCTCGAGGTTTGTGAGTTTGAGCCCCACGTCGGGCTCTGTGCTGACAGCTCAGAGCCTGGAGCCTGCTTTGGATCTGTCTCCCTCTCTCTGCCCCTCTCCCACTCATATTCTCTCTCTCTCTCTCTCTCTCTCTCTCTCTCTCTCTCTCTCTCTCCCCCCCTTCTCTCAAAAATAAATACCATGAAAAAGAATTTTAGATATCCAAGGGTCTTTGATCACGTCCACCTTGAATAGGACCATACTACCCATAACATCCACAAGTGGATGTGGACATATTTCCATGGCAACCCTCACTCGCATGTCTCATTCCGTGCGCTCCGTTCGTGGAAATTCAGGTTAGCTCAAGCCTTCTAGAACCTTGGCCATCATGGAAGAGAAGTGGGGCAAGGAAGGGGTGTTCAGGATAGGGAATCTCTAAGGCTGAGGGGAAGATCAGTGGAGAGAAAGAGAGGAAGGCTGTAGAGCGAAGCCCACTGATGGAAGAAGCCTGTTCCAGCCCCAGGGGCCTATGCACCTGACGTGTCCCCCGACTGCTGGGCTCTCCTCTGGCTGTTTGAATGGCCAGCTCCCTCGCCCTTCAGATCTGAGCTCAAATGTCACCTCTGCAGAGAAGATGACCATCCCAGCCACAGCCGCCTGTCTCTCTCTCACTGTTTCCTGTTTATTTCCTTTACTGCACAGACCTCAGGATGTCAGCATTTTTGGGCTCTAACTTGTTCATCACACTCGTTTCTCCCCCTGAAGTGTTAGCTTCAAGAGGGCAGAGGTTAGGAACGCCTTCTCCCCCCTCCCCCTCCCCCCACCCGGTCTAAAACACAGAGTTCAACTCATGTCTGTGCAAGGAACAAGGGGTTCCTGGTGCTGGGGAGTGGGGACCAGTGGGGGCTCCCTACAAGCTCTCTGAAAAGTCAGGGAGGGGATTGGGGGGCCTGGATCTGAGCCCAGCAGCCTGGGGCTCCTCTCCAAACTGACTCCGGCTTAAAGCAGGCTCTTGGGAAGGGAAACAGAGGGCCTCACACACCCCAAAGCCTCCTCAGTCTCCTCAGAGTCCAGTGAGGCTCAGGGGCACGTAGTGGGTGCAGGTGGGGGGGGGGGGGGGGGACGCGGCGCCTCGCACCTGCTCTTCTTCCTCGGTGGCATCTCACACGCGTGGAGGCCTAGGAGCACCTGCGCTGGCAGGTAAGACCGGGGCGCCCTTCTCATGCGCTGGGCCCTCCAGTCGCCGGCCAAGGAGGTGCCCTCGGGCTTGCACGACGTGGGCTTCCATGGATTCCTCGTCCAGCACCAGTCCGCCGATTTCTCCTGGAGCCACCCGACCGGTGCCAGCACCACGCGCAAGCGGTGGGCGCAATGCGTGCGCCCCGGGCGGTGTGGGGGGCTTACAGCTTCTGGGGAGGCCCGCTGAGGGGCAGGACTTGGCTGGGGCGGGGTCCGAGAGGGTCGGGGGGGGGGCGGCCGAGGGGCAGAAGAGACCCATGGGGGCTGCCGGGACCGTGATGGAGGGGGGAACCCGGCGTCTTCGCCAGAACGCGCCACGCTGTAGAGAGCCACCACGTGCGTCGCAGTCGGCAGCCAGAGGGGTGGGGGCGGGGCCGGAGGGCGGGGCCGGAGGGCGGGGCCTGGGCTGGCGTGGGGCTGGCGTGGCCGTGGAGGCAGAGGGGGCAGCAGCGCGCCCTCCGTGGAGGCGGGGCCTGGGAGGAGGCCTAGGAAGCGTGCGCTCCAGAGTTGGGGGTCCCGGGCGCTGACTCTGCGACCCCCCGGGAAGCTGGAGGTGCGCCAGAAACCAGGAGGGGCGGGGCTCGGGCTGAGGGAGGAGCCTGAGGGTCCCCGGGGCTCAAGGGGGATGGGAGGCAGAGGGCGGAGGGCGGGGAGGGGAGGCTGTGCTCTTCCGGCAGCCTGAACTGTGCCACCGTGCGCGGCCACCTGTGTCAGACCTGGGAGCTGGAGAAGCGCGGGGCGGCGCTGGGGTGCAGGCCTGGGTGAGGGTAGGGTCAAGGGGACGGCGGGGACTGTCCTGAACAGCCTGCACCACGCACCCTAGGGGACGCTGCCGATTGAGAGGGCCCAGGAGATGGGGAGGGGTTTCGCGTGGTTGCGTCCTTGGCCACACCAGCAACTCTCCCTGGCCTTCCGTTCCCAGGGCGAGGCACTGGACCCGGCCATCATCAGCCCGGACCCCAGGTGGACCCCAGGTGAACGTCTCCATTGCTGTAGCGGCCCACGAGCCGACGCCCTCAACAGCCCGACGCAGAGGAGGATGAGTTCACGTTACCCCAGGGTGAAGACCAAGGCCTAGACCGCGTTGGGGTTTGGGGGCCTGAGGAGGTGCGGGCCGGAGCCCGGCGGCTGAGTGTGGGGCTGAGTGAGGGATGTGCCTGTGGCTAAGTCCGCGCGGCTGGTCCTGGCTGCAGGGGGTTTTGTGTGTTTGTGAGAGTTCGCGTGTGCCAGCCGTTGTGTGCGTTTGTGGGAGGTGTAGACGGACGTGTTTAGGGCTAATAGGACTGAGGAGCTGGGCTGCCTGGGTTGGAGTCTGGCTTCTGCCACTTAGACACCCTGGGCCTTGGGCCATGGCCCACATTCTTCCTGCCTTGATACCCTTTTGCATTGTGGATTCATTCATCTCTCAAATATTTACTGAGCACCTGCGGTGTGCTAGGCACTACTCGGGGCCCTGGAGGTCATAGCCGTGAACAAAACAGACACAGATCCCTGCTCTGCTGGGCCAGGCCAACAATAAAGATAATGAATTCAGTATACAGTGTGCCGGATGGTGGTGAGTGCTGTGTGTGTGTACGTGGGGAGAGGCTTGTAGTTTTAGATTGAGAAGCCTTCCTGAGAAGGTGATATGTGGATAGAGTTCTTGGGGGTGAGGAGTGAGCTGTGGAGTTGCCTCAGTGGAGGAATAACCTCTCCGGCGGAGCAAAGAGCCCGTGCAAAGGTCCTGGGGCAGGATCAGGCTTGGCTTGTTGGAGGAACAGGGTGGAGAGGCCTGTGGGGCTAGAGCAGAATGAGCCAGGGGGAGAAAAGGAGGAGGTGAGGGCAGGGAGGGGACAGGGGCAGGTCCTGCAGGGCCTTGTGGGTCGTGGGAGGGGCTTGGCCTTTCCCCACGGAAGGGTGTTGAAGCAGCTTCCTCTGGGTTGCATGTGCATGATGACAGCATTTACCCCAAAACTTTCTTATAAGAGTTATGTGAATTAATATGTGTAAAGCGATAATACAGTGCCGGGCGCATACTAAGCGTGCATTAAATATTAGGTTATTATTATGTGTGGTGGACATGTGTGTCCTAGGGTGTGTCTGAACTGCAGCTGAGCTGGGTGGCTGTTAGTGAGTTTGCTGTTGTGAAAGAATCTCTCTAAAGCTATTAAAAAAAAAAAAACACACACACACACCAACTCTGCTGGGTGTTTGAAAGCTCTGATGGGTTACTGCTTTCTGGCTTGGACGGGCTCTTTTGTATAACAGATGTTATCCAGATGTCAGCTGGGGTCACTCGGGCCTCGGAGATTTGGCGCCTGCCTCTCTCCCACGACCTGCGGGAAGTCCAGTGCCCTCCCCGAGATGTCTGCAAATTCCCAGGGCCTCTGTTCCCATGGTTCCTTCTTGGCCTGAGTTCCTGCCCGCTGAACCCTTGCTCTCACTCACCTATCTGGGGCCAACCCTGTAGGGGAAACAGTCCTGTTTTCTTGATTTCTCCGGACCACCCGTGTGTGATCTTTGCATACGGACCCCGTGGCCCCGTGTTCACCTTAAGATTCTGCCATCCTGACGGTTTTTTAATATTGTCCGAGCCTCCGCGACAAGCTTCCGTAAGATGGGGCTTGACAAAAATTCCACTGCCCAGAGGAACACTTTGCATGCTTCTTGGACAACCCGGCAGAGTTTATCACCAGCTTAAAGTGCACTGGGCTGTTGTATGAGGAGGAATCGCACCCAGGACACCCGAGGCCATGGCTGTGAGCAGCTATAGGTGCTTTTGATGTCAAGTGGGCTCGATGTTAAGGTAGAAAGACGAGGACTGGCTGCAGAAAGTCGAGGCAGAGGGAGATAGGAGCGGGCACAGAAGCGATGGCGGCGGGAGCTGGCGGGGAGCAGTTGTGAAAGACAGCACCGCGTCCCTGGGGAGATGTGCAGCTCAGAAACCGTTACAGTGATGAGCCAGACTTCTGGAAAATGAGGCAAGCGTTGCTTCAGAGAGAAATCTGCTGCAGATTCTTCTGGTGGTTCCTGTGATATTAACTGCTTTCTCAGGGCGTGGCTAGTCAGGGCTCGGCGGTCAAAGTGGGGCAGGGGTGGAGAGCAACCTTCCTGGACGGGTCACGACAGGCGAGAAAAGCCTGGAACTGGTCAGGTTCCAAGACAGGGGTGTGGGGTGTGTCAGAAAGATGCATTCAGCTCAAGCCTGGAACTGAGACCAGGGTCATGTTGACCTTGGCCGCAATTCAGGGCTGCTGTGATGTGGACTGAACTGCACCCAGGACTATCCTTGGGAGGCTCGTTTGGCTTCTGCATAACTGTAATTGCAGCATTTGGGGTCAGCTGGAATAGAAACTTGACCTTGGCAAGGGCCTTCCATGGCGTATCGTCTGGTATTTCTTAATCTTTTCTGGATCAAGACTCATTTGGGAATCTCACCAAACCTACAGACCACCTGACTTGCTGGCTGCCTGTCCCCCTCCCCCCCAAATACCCTCTCCTCCTTCCCAATATATTTACCCAGATAATTTTTTGGACAGTTGTATGGTATCATGGTTGCCCAAACCCACTTAAGAACCTCTGATTTTTACTCTTCTTCTCTCATTTGATATGAGAGGAAATAATCACAAGACCGTAGCACCTTGCTCAGAATTACACAGATCATTAGTGAAGGGCGAGGTGTCAGGCCAACGGAGCAATTAATCACAGAGTCAGAACTGGATGCAAACCCTGGCTCCACCCCTTACTAGCAACAGAGTCAAATCTCCCTGTGCCTCAGTTTCCCCATCTGCAAAATCGAGATGATAATGTTTTTTTTTTTAAACGTTTATTCATTTTTGAGAGAGAGAGAGAGAGAGCATGAACAGAGAAGGGGCAGAGAGAGGGGGGACAGAGGATCTGAAGCTACTCCGTGCCGACAGCAGAGAGCCCGTTGTGGGTCTCGAACTCACCAACTGTGAGATCATGATCTGAGCTGAAGTCAGGTCCTGACTCAGGACCTGAGCTGAGCTCGCGGTGGTTGCAGAGCTTACCGGAAAAGCAGAGAGTGCAAGCGTCTCTCAGGCGCCCCCTGGCGGCGTGTTTCCTAAGGTTTCATTGGCCAAAACAGGTCACATGGTCAAGCCCAGCTTCAGGAATTAGAGAATCAGAATCCGTATCTTGGAGGAGACGCAGCCAAATGTGGCGGCTTTGTTTGTTTGTTTGTTTGTCTTGTTTTGTTGTGTCTTCCTCTCAGTGTCCCACACACGTTTGCTGGTGAGTGGCTGGGTGGTGAGTTACCAGCTTACAACTTAGAGAGTTTTGACCCTAATGGGTGTTTCTACTTTTCCGAAGAGGAGAACTTACAAGCAGAAACTATAACCTCCAGGCCAGTTATGGAAAGTGACCTCCTCTGTCGGGGCCCTTTGCACGTCTTTGTTGTGGGGCTCTCTTCCCCATCCACCTGCCTCCTGCCGTCTTTCCCTCCCCCATTCCATACCTTAGCACCTTTCACCTGCCTGAAGGGTTGAACAGACTATTGTGGGCTAGCCTGGGAGCTCTATATAGTCTTTACCCCTGCATCGTTCTCCGCGGACCATGCGGTCCAGGGATGGGTGGGATGGTCACAGCCAGCCTCTTGTCGCCTGCCACGGCAATCTTGAGGATATTTCTCTGTTCCTTGGCTTACGAAGGGCCCACGGGCAAGGTGGGCTCTGATCTGTCCTGTCTCCCACCTGCCTTAGAACAGCGCCTGGCACGGGGCTAACGCTCAGTAAATATTAGTGCAGTGAATGTTTACACGCAGGGTCCAAGCCCCCGTCCGAGGGTTTCCACCTGCGAGGGTACCCAGTTGTATGCCATCCCAGTGGCTACTTCCTGTTGCCCCCCCCCCCCCCCCCCGTCCACCAGCCCTCTGTAACCCTCAGTGCCGCCCCTTAGTGACTGTGGTCAGCTGCCCACAAAGTCCACAGACTGCCCTGGTCCTCTGCGAGAAATCTTCACTGAGCCCCGGACTCAACCCTCGCACCCGCGACTCAGAACAAAACTGTCTGGTGGGAGATGGCAACAGGTTTCGCTGTGGGATGTGAGGGAGTAGGCGTGCATCTGAGTTGGTCTGTGTGTGTCTGTTTTGGGTGAGGGCACAGATTTCCTCTGCACTAGGGCCCCCCCCCACCCCGCGTCTTTGAGGGGCTCCCTTCACCTCAGAGACTGGGTGGATTTGGACATTCATTTTGACTACCTTCCAGCAGAGGGCAGTCAAGGGCCTCATTCTCGGTCGGGTCTATGGCAACGACCCTGCAATGACAGGGTGCTTTGTTCTAATTTGCATGGAGGTGCCCTGTGAGCTAGCCATGGACCCCGGTCTGCCTGTATGGTGTCCATGTGCGTGTGGCAGCCGAAAAGCCCCCAAACCGTGCATGTCCTAATCCTTGGAACCTTGGGTGTGCTCCCCTCCCTGTTCACGGCGGAAGGAATTCTGTACTTGTGATCCAAATTAGGCATTTTGAGAGGAGGAGGTGATCCCGGATCGCCTGGGTGGGCTCAATCCAACCACGTGGGCCCTTAAAATCAGAGAAGCCTTCCTGGCTGGGACAGAGGTGACACAGAAGAAGGGTGAAGGGTGACAGGGATTTGGCCTGCGGGGTGGGGGCTTTGAAGCCGAGGAAGGGGCTATGAGCTGAGGGCTTCTAGAAACGCCGGTGTTTCTAGAAGTGGGCACAGCCCTCAGCTGACGGTCTGCAAAGAAACAGAACCCAAGTCCTACAACCATAAGGAGCTGAAATCTGCCAACAATCCTAATGAGTAAGGAAACAGATCCTTCCCTCGAGCCTCCAGAAAGGACTGGACACCTTTTTTAGCCTGGTGACCTCCGAGAGGGACCTCTGGCCTCGAGAATAGTAAGGCAATACATTCGTGTCATTTCAGCTACATGACCGCTGTGTCATGGCGGTCCCAGGAAGCTGATAGTACGGAAATGACTCTCTCTCTTTCTCTAAGAATGGTGTCGGTCCCCTGTCCCCTCCTCCTCTCCTCCACCTGTTCCTTGGAGGTCTGGAGGTTGAGTGGAGCCTGCCCTGTCTTCCCCCGTCCCCGCTGCTTGGCCATGAAGCTCTGGGGTGTGGAGCCCACAGGTGTGCTTGGGAAAGTGAGGCCTAGAAGGAGGCACCACAGGAGGGAGTCCAGGTGGCTGCAGGGGTGACAACTCCTCCCTCCCTGCGCCACCCCCAGAAACAGCAGGACGTGCCTGAGCTGCCCCTGATCTATGGGGGAACCTCATCAGCCAGGGCCAGGTGGGCACACGCTGTGTCCCCAGAGGCCAAGCTAGATGCTCCCTCATCTGTCCAGCGCCGGGCGAGGGGCGTGCTGTGGGGGGAGGACAGGAGCCCAGGAGTCCCTGCCCGGACTCCCCTGCCCTCAGCTGGTAAAGGCTGGGGTCAGGTGGGGGAGACCCTGTTCCCCATACTGGTCACTGTCCCTTTCGCCTCCCCCAGGGCCGCTCCCCTCGGATGCCTGGCCCATCCGTCCTCAGTGGTCCCCACGGGCCAGGTGGGCATCTCAGAGGTGGGGGCTCGGGGATG